GGGCATGGCCCCCTTTGTCCCCCCTGGATCCGCCCTTGATTGCAAGCGATAGGCTATATGGGTTTAAATCTCCTCAAAATGACACCACTCTAAATACTCCTGCGTCAGGTTGACCCAGAATCTGAATCCAAATTGTCTAAGTCCTTTCTTGTGCCAAAAGTGACACTTTCTGGGTCAAAACTGAGTTCTTTTTCCCTAGGCCATTATGACCCAGAGAGATGTCATTTTTGACCTGGAATAGGACTGAGCAAATTTCGATTTAAATTCTGGGTCAATCTGATCCGGCCATAGGTGTTTTAGAGTGCACCCCGACACGGTATTGAGAGAAAACCTTGGGCAAAACTGAGTCAACGTTGCACTGGGAATAGAGAAAAAAATGAAGGAAGGGTCAATAACAGTAACAGTGTGTTAAAGATGTATTCCCCGTGTTATTTTAAGTTCAACCCTGAAAATTGATTGGTGTTTTGAATTGCTATTTTCCTATAATAGAAGTTTCTATTTTTTCTGAACGAGACATGTTATGAACAAAAGTATAACAACGCAGTTTAGTTATTCAATAATTTTTTCCACAGAATTCCAATCTGTTACCCGATACTTATTCGGCTCTCGCATCAAGGGCGGATCCAGGGGGGGGGGGGGGGGGGGCGGCCAAAGGGGGCCATAGCCCCCCAAAAACGAAACAATTTTTTTTTTTATGTGACATCGCAATAAAGGCAGGCAATGAGTACACCACCATCTTTTCCTCAAAAAACATTTGTTAAAGTGGTCAGAAATTGCCTCAGATCGCACCACAGAGCATCTAGAATCCAAAAAAAATTCGGGGCCCTTAAGCGGGCCCCGAACCCCACGCCGTAATTTTTTTGACCCACCTTTTGGGGGGACCAAAATTTTTTGGGGCCCCCCAAAAAATTGTGTTCTGGATCCGCCCTTGTCTGGCATGAGGGTTCATTTGTGCAAAAATGGAAGCCCTTTGCTGAGGACTGCAGACGCCCACAATTGGGGAAAAGTATCATTCATTTTAGGAAAAAAAAAAAAATTTTGTAGTGTACATGGCTCACATCGTTAAACTCCAACACAACATCATGGAGCGATTCCATGACTCGATGAGGATTACTCTCGAAATTGACAAATTATACGAGCTAGTGATCATTTCAATTTGTTGTCGTCGAATGAAGATATTGAACAGATAATCTCCCTAATTTTTGTAAACAGAAAGCAGCTGAAAACAGAAGAAACACGGGATTTGCTAGTATCAATACGGAGGTACATTAAAATAATCAGTGACGTCCTTGTCCATTCCAATTTGCAACTGTAAAATACTGAACGCTAATTACCGTTGGAACTAAACTGCTATAATAAATGGAGACAACCAGATCTCATAAATTGATGAAATAGATGGAAACCACAATCTGTCAACGGAGCCTTTGCAGACAAGTTTTGACTTGTTTTGATCTGCTTTCAAAAAGTTGATATCAACATTTCTGAGTGTTGGCACTAGCGCTGTACTTCCGAGTTTAACAGCAAGAAACTGTTTGTTCACTCGAATCGGAAGTATTTTATTGACAAGGTCAACATTTTTTTGACTAATGAAAAACGGAAGGCTTGAAATTGTGCAATCTTCTGAACTTCAAATCTGCTTGATCTGATAACCTGCATGGAGCTAGTCACCATATTTGGAGAAGACTATTTTAAGCAAACCAATCATCTCACTGTATATTGTCGCTACCATGGAGGTGTCGCTTGCTGATTGGTTGCCTGAATTGAAGTCAAAGTACAAGTAAATTGAAGAGAATTTAATGGTCAGGCTAAACTGAAATGTTCGTTCCATGTTTGCATTATAGCCAAGGCCTGTATTGTGATTAAAAACATTGTTACCGGTATGCTTATATAGAGCTTTCCATAACAATCTCAAAGCGCGTTACAATTATTATATTTCCCAGATCGTCAGGCCACGAAACGACGCGACAACCGGTATGGGTGATCCCACAAAATTAATGTGAAGGCCAATTAATGTTGGTGTCCCTCTTTACATTGTGAAAATTGTTTCCTAGTATTACCAAAAGTGAAATATATGTACAAATGATTTTATAGTTGCCTAAATTATAGTACTTGTACCTAAATATCTTGAAACAAAGAATGAAACATCTAACTAATTTCCTGACAGTATGGTGTCCTAAGTAGTTTACGGTTTGACTTGTAAAGGGACATCAAAGTTGTAGAATTTTACAAACTGCTGTTGTTTGGTTCTTAGGCGAAGTAAAAAAAAACAACATGTTTCTCGTCTGCGCCTGCTTCCTATTTGGAGGCCGCCGGGATTTTTATTTTTATATTATTATTATTTTTTTGAAATGAAGTTAAAAAAACACCAAAGAAGTCCAGGGTTAAAAGCAAATGCATCTAAAACTGTTCATTGTAGACCAATACAACCCTAAATGACACTGTAAATATGTTCAGTTCTCTTGTCCAGCTTGTCTTTCATGTTAAAAGTGTCTTTGAACATTGGAAACACCAACGGTTGCAGAAAATTTTAAAATGGCGGCCATCTTGAAAAAAAAAATAAATAAAAAGCCCCTCTTCTTCCTTTTTTTCCCGAAAACCCGGACGAGAAACATGTTTTTTTTATTCGGCCTTACCTTTTTATGAAATACTTTCATGTGTTCATTATGTGTAAGAAAAAATGCCCTTCGTTATATTAAAGGAACTTTATACTGCTTTAGAATGGCACTTTCTTTGAATGATTTAATAGAACTATTTGAGCGAAAGTCACAGTGCGTGAATAAACAAGGCCCAACTTTTTTTTGGTGTCACTCTACACGGGAAATTTGTGTAATGTTTCTGAGAAATGAAACGATTGTTGGGTCCGATGGCATAACCAAACCACAGGCATTTACAAGGTTTCACGTGTAAATAGGAACACCAAATGGTGTCCCCTTACGCAATCAATAATGTTATTTTTTTTTCATTCTAGGCGACATAATTATTTTCACAATACACATTGATGTGTTATCCTGCATGGGTAAGACAAAAGAAACATCTTAAAAATAAACACACTATGAATATGAATTTGCAAGTCACAAAATAGCAGACAATTAATGTGGTGTCCCCTTTACACGTGAAATCGTGAATAGGTTTTGACATGATATTTTGGCATTTCAGGAGTATAGTTTTTGGCTACAGTTAATGAGGAATGTCAATATCTTTAAGTTAGACTGAAATTATTGAATCCCCTGTCAATCAGTTTCTCCATTTGGGTTAAAATGTCACGAGTTGGCACTCTAATTAATGGAATAACCCATATCAGGGCACAATCGGTCATCTTACTCCCCTGTCCTCATAGTCACGGGTACCCATTCATACTCCGAGTGGGTGGAGAGAGGCAATTATAGTTAAGTGTCTTGCCCAAGGGCACAAACACCATGCAGGTACGAACCCACGCACCATCGAACATGAGTCAAACACCGTAACCATGACATTCTACATGATAGCGATTACTTCATATAAATGTTATGAATTGTGTAATATTTTACACAAGTTGTGTAAACAACAGTTTACACAACGGGTTGCTAGGTTCATATAGTACACAACCGTCTGATTTTTACACAACCGAACAGTGTTTAATACCCATTTTAAAATAGAATACCACATTCCTGTGTAGAAAATGTCGGAGATACGGGGAGGAACACATCCTGGAAACCTGGAATATGGCCATAACATCCCCCACCCCAGAACGACTTTTTGTCAAATATTGTTTACGGGGGGCGGGGGGGGGGGATTTGCTCACTCCCCCTCAGATTTATGCGGTGAAAAAAACCAAAAAATGTCAATTTTGAGATCATCTTTTGAATTTTCCAAACTAAAGAACAGTTATAAAAAACGGAGAACAAACAGTACAACAGCTTTCAATGCACCGTTCTTAAGTAAGTTTAAGGGATGTGAGGGCAAAACATGTAGCGTGCACTGCATTTCCATTTGTATCATGAACAAAAAGCGCCCCAACTCACGTCGTGTCCAGCCACCCCCCGCCCTTTTCGAATTTCCACGGCAATTTGAGGATTTTGTGATATGTGGCCTTCCTCCATCCCCACAAGCCACTGTATCCAGGTTTTGCTTTTCAAGGTTTTCAACGCGATCATCACCCCTATACACAATCCTTCGCACACCTTGCACATTCCGACACCATTAGAACCACAATCCCTTTCCTTTGTGCCATTGAAAGTATTGTATCCACATCCGCTTTCAAAACTGTACAAGTTTCCAGGACTAACAATTAGTGATTATGGTTCAGTAATTTCGGACACAACGTAGAAATTCAATATCTCCGTTGCCCGAGCAACGGTTGCCCGAGCAACGAAAATACGTAAGTCGACTATACATTCAAAAGGCAACTCCCGGCAAGGTTGCCGCTCCCAGTGCGTGATGTTTCCTGGTACTGCTTGTCTATTTTGTTGAGATTAGTTGTTGATTTTTTTTTAGTAAATATCCGCATTTGACGTCGACATAAACTAAACATTTGCAACGAAAGGCCTTGCTAAAGTTTTAAAGCGGAAATACAAATCTGTTTCACTTTTATAGGCGAAATTTTGCTATCCAATATACTGCCCATCAGTTTAGGGACCCCTCTTTTAATTTTCCAAATATTGTCAAAAATCAAGAAATCCTATTCAATGCATGCACGCCTTGTCAGCCATTTAGTTTAAAGGTATAATAATAGTAATAGTAAGAGTGGGTATTTAGCGCACGTATCCACGGTGCTCAAGGTGCTACATGCTCAAGGTGCTATGATTACACCTGTTTAATTGATTGGCCTGGGTGGAATTTTCGAGAATGAGTCTGATAACCCTGCAGGTACATTGCGGGAACACAGTAGCTGGTGCAAGTGACGATATTTTGGAAATTACCTCATGATTGAGCCCTTTTGTTAAAGTAATCTACTGTGTACCCATTTCTTGTCACCCTGCGCGCGTGCTGACGTCAATGGCCCGACCCAATACAATATCATTTTGTATGCATCAGGTGCGAAAAGTTGTCTAGGCTGAAGTTCACAGTCAAATACAACTTTGGTTGGGTGTGTGCATAGGCATTCATACTGCGTGCGCGACGGTAATAGAAATGACTCACCAGTGACGTATATCATTGACGTAGGTTCTTCAGTGATAATGGACATGGAACTGCATGGCAAAGGTAGTCAGATAACTGCATGACAGGCGAAGGGACAACACGCACATCGCTGTAGCGCAACTTCATCATTGCATATATGCTTGCTCGTTAAACAAAGTTGACTAGAGCTGCTCATCATCAGAGCCAGAGGACAAGGAGACGAGGAGACAGTGGACGAAAGTTGTACTTTGAAAACAAAATGAAACAGTCGAGTCCGGACTTTTTGATGCGCGAATCCCACACGTGTCTGACGGTAGCACATGAAGATTTGACCACCATGCATTCAAATCACAAGCAATCCTGCAGAACGTTCTTCCCTATCCGATCGCGAGATGTTCTTCTGATTCTCATCTTTGTTTCCTTTCTTCACGTGCAATCGGCGAACGCTACTCGCCCAGAGTACCGTTGTATTGAAGGAGAAAGACTCCCAAGATTTGATGGGTGTAACTGTGGGGAGTATGCAAGCATTGTATCCAAAGAAGAGGCGCGGCAGTTGGATGAAGCTGGAGTTCGTGTGTTCTCTCGGCCACATGGCCGCAAACCCGGGAGGCAGCAGTGAGTATTTGTAATAATAATTCTCGCAAAAGGCCACGAGGAAGACACGTTTTGCTGACAAGTTTTACTTTAGGGAGAAAAGATAGATTAAAGAGATATTTGAATGTCTATCAATGATTCTAGTCTTAATTCTTGGCATACGGTTATTGTCGCACAATGGCCTAAAATGATTATTTATGATATTACCTGTACAGTATGCTGTGATGTTCAGGGTATATACCGTTTACCCGTTGTCCCCGGCAGAGGGAAATAAAATTGTTAAATCCTAAAAGAAAAACCCTATTCTTCAAACATATACTCCCATCATACTTCGATCATTCTTCGATCGTTCCGCTGACAAAAGACGGTTAAAGAAACATAACTTAGTTTTAACGAGTTCCTAAATTTGCTCAGGATGAAAATACCACGTTCCTTCAAAACCTAATTTGGTTGATATCGTCCTAAAGAATCTACTAAATCAACAACTCAAAGTAGACAGCAATGCGACAAAGTACATCTCCCAACCTAGACGCAGGAATCAATGAGATAATTTTACAAATTCCTCATCAGATATGGAAAATGTTCTCCCCTTTTTGGATTTCTGTGCAATGCTACGCAAATTTTAATATGAAATTGTGGAACATGTTTTTAATTTCAACTGTTTTGATTTGCATGTTTAAAATCCACAATGGACAAATTTTCTTCAAAGGACTGAAATAAGGGGACCGGATGATTTTATCAATCGAATAGACCCAGCTTTTCATTCGAGATTATTTGTTCTTTTTCAAAGTATTTCCAATCTAAATTAGAGAGATTTCTTTGTTTCTGAATCTTCTAGTCCTCAGTATAAGAAGGTAGATCAGTTTTCTGCTGTACATTGAGTTATTTTCACACGAGTGACGTAATCATCTGATACGATTCTTCGAATTGCGCGCCTGCTATGACTGGATCCATGGCCATAGGTACTTTTGGCCAATGACAGTATGACGAGTGTACGTGTAAACAGCAATCGCTATGGAACCATGGTTTGTTTACACGGACAATACGGTCGCATAATGCGTGAGTCATGCGTTTTGACTTGTTCGCAGAAACACCAACTTATGGAAAATTGTGCAACAGGCATGTGACATTCTATGAAAATTGGTTCTGATTGTATAACAATGACAAATTTAACAATTACAATTTAACAAATTCAAGGGCGCAGCTGCCATGCCCGTCTCTTTGGCCGAAGACTTGTGCAATGCGTGATTCAAATCTGAGTAATGTTTATGTAATGGCTTAAAACAAATTGTGAGTTTGTCTTACAGTCACTATGTGGACATGTGAACAAAAGATTTCGCCCTCTCTGAAAAACAGGTTTAGAGGCATTTTCGGGTCGGAGTAATCCGTCGCAGAATGAAGAGAAACATTAAAGGAAATAAAAAAAAAAAAAAATGAGGGTTGAAAGAGTTTAAGTAAAGTTTACAGTAAAGTTATTTTAAGTAAAGTTATTTTTTGTACCGAGTTTTCTTAACTACACGAAAACAAATAAATGTCCACATAGCGTATGCGACATGTAAAACAAACTTGCGTGTGTGTGTGTGTTTCTTTGAATAAAATGTGTGGATGCAGCAGTGGGTACATTCACTGTGTGGACCTCCGAACAAAAGAGGTCCACATAAACCAGGTAGAGGCGACGTTGTGTGTACTTGGGCAAGTCCACACAGTGTTTCCCCATTTCTGGAAAACAGGTTTAGAGGCACTTTTGGGTAAGGTTTATCTGTGGCAAAATGAAGAGAAACACTAAAAGGGATCATAGAAAAAAATTAGGTTGAAAGAGTTTTCACAGTTTGAGAAAAATGAGTTTTTTTTCAATGGTTTTTCTTAACAATACACGAAAGCAAGGGAATGTCCACACTTGGTATGTAACGTAAACGTGCGTGAGTTTGCCAAGTAAAAGGCCAGTTCTTTGAGATTGACATTGTTCACATGTACAGTACTATTGCAATTGAAAGTTAACCTGGGAATGGGAATTTCTCTTCACACTTTTTCTCTTCCCAGAGAATTTATTATCATTCTATAAAGTATGAAACACTTCTCCCACATTGGGAAATTTTTTTCGCACCTTTTCACACAAGTGGGAAACATTTTCACACTTATTCATACAAGTGTGAAAACATGTTTACAAAATGGGAAATGCGGGTCGGAATGCGAATGCTAGTTCTTGACATAACATTCCTTATTCCTTTTCGCAGTGTTAACTTTAAAATCATGGTGTACTGCACAATCACAAAACCCACCAATGCATAAAGGAAAAAGTTTTCTAAGGATTTCTCTTTTGTTCTATTTGTGTACTTCGCAGGTCGTATGTATGCATCCAGTGTACAAGATGTGGCGATGGCATTAAAGTAGACAGTCCGTGCACTTCTCGGGCCGACACTGAGTGCAGTAACAGCGCATGCGCAGATCCCTCCTGGAAGTTCGATTTTGGCAGTAAATCCTGCAAGCCGCCGAGCACTCCGCAACCACAAACCTCAACAGTGTTGGGACCAACGATTGCACGGACACCAGCGAGAGTGCCATTTCTCCATGCGCTAACTAGTAAGTGAACATAGCACAACCATTTGTCATGTTTTATGAGAGGAATGTACTCGGCCTTTTTTATTTTTTTCATTTCACCTTTTGCCCTTTTGTTTTTGAGAGAGATGTACCCCTTCCTTTTTTGCTCCGAGTTAAAGTACTCTTTAATTTCTTATTTCTGCGTCAATTTTCAGTGTTGGCTGAAAATTTTCACTTTTTTTGCATCATAACACTTATTGCTTGACATCTTTCCTTCCTGCTGCAGGAACACCGCCACCTGACGACAAAGATGACGTCACACACGACCCAGTTTTGTGGTCACAAAAACAGAGTCAGCTTATCATCATCGGTGTGGTTGCCGTGGTTACCGTTCTTCTCATTCTACTGGTTGCCATCATGATCATGGTCATCCAAATGAAAGGCAAAATAGAAAAGATTGCTTCGTCTCCATACTCGTCTCAAAATACATCAAATTCCTCGGTCAATGTTTGACGCAGTCTTGCTTAATATCAACTTGGTTCCAGCAAAAATAACATATTAAAATAAAAGATTTTGAGAACATCCTTTTGATAAACTCAAACGTGAAGACAACAGACAATCCTGAAGACACTAACATGATAGAGCATGGATGGTGACTATTATGAGAAAAAGAAGTTGTATGAATTTGTGAATTGAAAGATGTAAACAGTAAAAGACGATAATTCGATTTAGATAACTATTTCGTTTGACCAAGCTTATACAAATATTGTACAGCTAAGTTGAAGAAAAGCTTGACGCCATTAGCTCGCCCAGTGTCTGTTTTCAGAAAGGATATCGGTGGCAAAATAAGTCATTTTGTTCTTCGAAGGAAAGTGGCCCCGGGAGCCGAGATTTCCGTTTCTTACAAAAACATCCTGCAAATTTTGCCGCCGAGTATATGTATAGTGATTAAGTTGCACCTTGTCCACTCCCCTGCTTGACACTTGAGGGCGTCAACTGAGATTTGAAGATGTCAAGTATTTGACTGTTCTTCTCCATGTATAGTTAAGAATGCCTTGTATAACATTTTGTAACACTATTTTCTCGTTATCTTTTATAAGGATACAAACTAATTATACCTTCTTTGTACAATTTTCATTGCTATTTATCTTGGAGGTGAAATAACAAAATACCAAATATAAGGAATGTCATAATTGTGTAATGTCTTTGGATGTACGTATATTTTTTTAATTTAAAGGGGAGTGCACTGAAAGTGTTAAATAATTTGCAGCCAAACTATGTCTTTAAATATGAAAATAATTAACGAGTCTATAAATATATGCAGTCTATAAATATATGCAACGTCCTTTCTATAAATAAACAGTAATTGTTAATGTAATATTTATGACCGTGGCTAATTACCTGTAGGAGTGTAAATATTTGTTTTATTTTGTAAATGTATATATTTTTGAGATTAAAAGTGCGAAGTCATGTGAAAAATAATGAATAACAAACATAAAGACACGTTTTTGTTGAATACAGTCATTTTGAATGAGAACATTGATTTCTAGCTGTTGCAAGGTTGAACCAATAGGAGGAGATATAGAAGGGGATTGGGTAGTCTGAGTATCACCCGCTATCCACGGAACCCAGTTTCCAGCATGTCGCCATGACTAGGGATAGGGTGGGTTGTTGCAAGCATGGGCGTCGCCAGGATTTTTCTAGAGGAGGGCAAAACATATTCCCCCCCCCAAAAAAAATTCCTGTATTTCTCAAGATTTTCTCGATTTATCAATTTTAGAGGGAGGCAGGGACATTTTGCCCTCCCCCAACCCATTAAATATACACCACTATGACTTCGCGACTCTTTTTCTTTTTCTTTATCTCTTTTTTCATCCTTTTTTTTTTGCTTTGCTTTTCCGGGGGGGGGGGGGCCTGCCCCGACGTCCATGGTTGCAAGGTTGAAGCAATAGGAGGAGAAATAGGAGGGGATTGGGTAGTCTGAGTGTCACCTGTTATCCACAGAGCCTAGTCTCCTGTCGCCACGAATAAGGATGGGATGGGTACGACCACAAAGTGTCAGACGGACCTCCAGACGAAGCTAATATTTAGCTGCAATAAGGGGGCGTGGCCGGACCAATTTTGATGCGTTGACAGTAAATTCGCCGACAGGCCGTTGTGAAACCGTCCACACACACGCCCTCTACGCCCGTGTTCATAAATCCCGCCATTTCCTATTAAGACCCACAGTCCCACTTGTCTATGCGAGCAGATTCGGCGATTAATTATGCAAAACAAGACTGCATCTTGACCTCGAGATTCTGACCATTCAGCGGCGTCTTCTCTTGGGTCTTCGGTAACCCGTAACACAGCGCCCTCTCCCCGGCGCGTTCTAAACGCGCCGGGGAGAGGGCGCTGTTCATAATTCACTGCAAACTAGACGCCTGTGTTTTGTGAGCTTTATCTCAAAATTCCAATATAAAGAAGAAATTTATTGTGGAGAACTTTCCAAGGTGATCATGGATTACGTTTTTCTGAAACTTTGACTTTTTCGAATCGAATCCAATCAGCCTCACGAGGAAACGATCCACAAATAAATAAAACTTTGATTCATCCAGTATTTCCCGCTGTTTTCACGCAGGCAACGCTGTGTACTTTGACTCATCGTCAAAACTATTACATTTTTATTTTGGAAGTTATACACATTATGTTAAACACCATTGTTTTATCACCACGATAAAGACATTTCCGAATCTCTGACTTTTCCTTTTTATATTTAATAGGCATTTAGACCAACACACAATATAAATTTGACTGTAATTCCTCATTTATTTCCAAAATTTTCAAACAGACAATGTTGTGTATCTGAAGACATTTTAATAGTTGCTCGACTCCTACTCTTCAACATATTCGATTTTTTCCCCTCCAGACGAGTTTCAATATGTTTGTTTATATTTACAAGAAATTTAACTGCTATTTTTCCTCTCACTCCCTGTAGGTGTTTTAACCCTCTGAAAAGACGCTTTTCGTTTTTGGTTTTGATAGTTTTGCGCCCTCAAGGCACCGTACCAAAATGTACACCGGACCGCAATCAATTAGGGAAATAGTCCAAACTTGAACTCCAACAGTTTTTGCTGGATGTCTCACTCAAAAGTGAATAGAAACTTTTGCCTTTCTAGTAAAAGAGCACTTCAATGAGAAACGTGTTCAGAGCAACTTTGAAGCAATTTCAGATTCATGACCTTTCCTAAGTTCAGATGTTTTAAAACAAAAAACTCGCTAAGGTTGAATAAAGAACAAAGACCATTGAACACATTTGATTTGGTTTTCAGAATGTCAATATTTCCGAAATTATCATACAGAGAATTCTTCAAAATAATCATTTTAGCACACCATGTGAATTTCAAGGGATCTCCCAAATTATGACCTTTATTAATCAACTAGTCCAGGAGCTTTACAAACCAGTTCAATAATCTTCGCTAAGGCGATAAGATCAATTTGCATAAAAAAAAAACGCCTGAATAAATCCCGTCATCTGATTGGTGGATCGTTGATCATGTGTCATTGAAATGTGCGCCCCAACGCACGACGCGCGCGGACGCACGACAGAAATTGAAGTTTAATGCACGGTCTATTTTGGCGGTTCTGACCAATCAGATGACGGGGATTTATTCACATTCTCGCAAGGAAAGAACAAATTCATTCGTCACCCCATCAAATTATTCTTACCATTGCACTCACAATTCTTTGTATAATACTAATGCGTTAACTTGTCACTGAGAAACGAACGTTCCATTTTGAGTTACCCGACAAACCCCCTCCCAAGTGCCGCCTATCCAAACAGCAAACTCAGTTGATTTTATATTCCTTACATGGAAGAACTGCACAAACCCAAACTTGCAGCATTTCGGGGTAAACCAAGTTCCAATAATTATATCATTAGATAATTCAGTCATAATGAGTGACTTTGCATGCAATATGTCAGCTAGCATTCCCAATCATCTTCCTTCTCCATCGGTGATTCATGGTCTTGATTCCTCTTCATCCCACCTCCTTTCATCTTTCCTATCATTCTAATCTGCTCCCTGTACAACCTTCTTGCCTCCCGTTTCCATTTCAAGTCCCTCTCTCGAATCTCCCGGTTCCTTTCACCCTGAGCCAACTTCGTCATGATGTGGGCGCTGGTCTGTCGTATTTTTAGGTCTTCGTCGTACTCCATTTTCTCGCGGACCTGTTGCAGTCTGTTTTCGTTGTCTTGAAGGCGTACCAGCTTGGTTAGTTCAACATGCTGAGGATATTTGTATACATTTTTGTTAACATGGACATGTTGCTCTACGTTGTGGCTGTGTGGACATTTCATTTGCAGTGAACTATTGAAACAAAGAACTGTCTTTTAAAGACCTTAAATTGTAATGTAACTAAGCAGTTGATGGAATGTAGAATAATCAGTGGCATATCGGGGGGGGGGGGGGGGGGGCAGGGTGCAGGGGGCACCTTGCCCTCACCCAGGGGATTGTTTTGAAAGTCATGTTTTCAGCATCTAATTCAATGAATGGTTATACAGTTATGACATGAACAAAAACAAAGACAACCAAGCACCAAAACCAATGCAATGCGCCGTGAAAATCGGCATATATTTTGTAGTATGCATAATAATGGTCAGTATTTTGAAGAGCGCCCTCATGTTAAAGATGGGTACCAGCCCAACCCCCACCCTGCCTTTTTGATTTTACGGAAACCAACTGTCCGGTGAAAAAAACCCCATGTCGGCACGGATGTTTGAGTGCGGTTGTCCCCCCCCCCCCATATCAAAAGCTGGATATACGCCACTGAGAGTAATTGAATAAGTAATAGTCGGAGAATTTCTTCATCCTTTTGTTTTGTTGTTTTATTTGGTTTGAATACAATGGACGATAACCTATATTTTTGTCAAATTAGGAGGTCGTGGGTCGTGGGTTCGAGTCCCACCCGAGTGATTTTTTCCAGCTTTCACTCGGGAGGTAACACACTGAGTATACAGTGTTTAAACGTCGGTGAAGGGCAAAACCTAATTTGATTTATATCACCCGACGCAAAATTCCATCTTATTATATTTTTGTCCTTTAAAAAGTCAGGTTTGTCAATCTTACATCTCTTCTCTTCTGAGCCCTGCACATCTTGATCCTATGGTCCAGATGTCGAAGAGGCATTTTCTCTCGTTCCTTTCTGAGAGGCCCGCGGACAGACTCAATGGCATGATGGAATGGAGAAAAGCGCCCCCTATGGTGTTTTCTAGGAATATCATATGCCACGCCTCCTATTGCCACCCGAGGATCAGCTACAATTCCTAAGTACACGACAGAAGACGATGAGAAGCAACAAACTTAAAATCAAAATGACATGATGTAATGAACTGAATAGTTGATGTTTTGACCAATCACAGCTGTGATGAACAGGTAAATAGCCCATTCGCATCTATCCAATAAGTAACTGACCAAATTATTGTTAAAAACTTGGTTTGATGAGAGTAATGACACTAAACGTGAAATCATTCCTTTTAGCATGCTGTCATTTTGAAGAAAACAATAAAAGAAGGTCCTTCCCCAAAGATGACGCAAGTGACATATTTTTGGACATTTCCGTTACAACTTTGTAGTTGGGTGAATCCGTGAATGGGTGCAAACGTCGGTACGTCGCACAAACGCGCGCGGTTGCTATCATCAACGAGAATTCGTAGGTTCAGTGCATTGACTAATGGAGATCAATGGTTCAGTGTGTGTCGTCGCGTAGCAACAATCGGCTGAACTTAATGAGAATCACGTCCCGAATGCGGATTTCGGGGTTGTGTCATGACTCAGCAACTATTGAATCGAGATCCAGAATATTGCGTTTTCTCGGAAAATACAGCATTCACATGGCTAACGCTTTATCGGGTTAGTTGTTGTTGAACACCTGTCTTTAGATTTCGAGCACTTATGTTGCTTCAAACCATTGATCCCCATCATACAATGCAATCAAGGCTTCAAACAAAAACAAAAAGTGCAAGATGCGTTCACACGGGCGCCCGACATGCGCGTTTGGAACACGCAGTGTGGCATGGTGGCATGGAAGAGTACTGGGCGGGGCTAAATGGATCAGTCTGCTTTTAGCTAAATGATCGTGGAAGTTCCGTAGTGCAGTTTTAAAGTCTTATGAAATAGACCTGAGACCTAATGACGTCACATTTTGTTGACATATGTGCGCTTCTCATATGTAGTAGACGGTCCCTGCTACGTTTTTGCGTCCCAACTTCGCTCCCGTAGGAAAGCGCATATGTAAAGAAAGCCATTACGTCATCAGGTCTCAAGTCTATTGAAACCTTCTCTTTGTAGTTCGTGAAGTATCTCTTCTTGAGCCCGTCTTCGTCTATCAAATATCCCGAGCGGATTTGCATTCATGGGAGGCAGGCGGAGTGGAATGAATCCTGTCAGGTCGGGGTTGGCTTGTTCTGGGTTTCTCCATGATTCGTCTCCAGATTCGACAATTCGGCCTGATGGCATGGCAGCTGGGAAGATAATAATGTCAAGTTGGAAGCGTATCTTTGGGACCCTGCAGTTTTCTACAACCCCGTATAATACATGTATATGACAAGGGTGGAGTCAGAATCTAATACTATCTCGGGGGCAAGCGGTCAGCTGGCCATTGGGGTTTGGGGCTTGTCATCAGGTTGTGGTAGCGCTGTGACCCGGGTTCGATTCCTGCCTGGGCCAATATGTGGATATGGTCTTCAGTCCTAGCCTGATTCCGTGAGTTTTCCTCAGAATACTCTTGTGGGATTTTTCTCACACATCTTAAATTGTAATTTTTTAACATTGTCTTCTCCTTACTGGGCCCCATGGGCGACCAGTGGACTCCACTGAATGGGCTACCCAGTTAAAAATAAGACATAAATATTGTGGTCACTGAATGTCAAAGTAGGGCACTTTTGGGCAAGAAGTCGATGTTCAGAATATAGCAATAATAGAACAATAATTATGTCGGACATTAGATCTTCAAACGCCACTTTGCTTTTTGAAATTGGATATTCCAAGGCGAAGTTGTTAAATAATGAAATCAGAGCGTCCGAAATGTCACGCTGATTTGGCGACATTTCAGAGCAAACTCTTAAACAAACTATCATCTGGGAAATGGCATGCCACTCTGAAAAATACGTTGTCAATGAAATTTCAGTTTGAAACTTATGGAACATTTTAAACATGAGTATAACATCACACATTTTAAACATCTATAAATCGCAGAAAATCACCCCATGTCTTCTTGCAGCTGTTTGTCCATTCGCAGCGCTACCCAATTCTGCCTGGTTTTGACATACCAAATCATTTATTATTTTTGAGCGGGTGCACTTTCGCCCCGTTTTGCTCACCTCTCATTTTATTTCAAAAATCCGTAGAGAGAAGAGCCATAAAAAATTGTTCGTTCTTAGAAACACACTTGGCTTACATTTCTACTCCTCTTAACTGTATGAACATTAATTGACATCATTTGTTATGTAAATTGTGCAAACGTGAAACGTGCACTTCTTTCCGGACATCTGAGGGCGTTGTTGCCGTGATGTCATTTCAAGAAAACACTGCTCGGTTTAGGCCAAAAAAAATCTCCGGATTCTGGTCTGCGCACACGTCGCCATAGCCATGCGCGTTGGCAAATTTCAATTTTTTTCGATGTCTCAAAACCACCAAACTCACTGGTTTGACTGGAATCTTGCTGCTGCACAATTTTGACGTGCTTTTAGATGGAGTTACGATCGAGTATAAGCTTTGTGTGGCTTCTTTGGGCTCCCATACATTTTGCACTTAATTTAGTCGGGCACCATTTGCAGTCATCAGCCGACATTTGAAGGAAAAGTAAAAAAAAAAAAAAACCCACTGCGTCAACGTACCACTTTTGGGGCAAGCTCCATACCAGAAATCAAAGACTTTTTTGGCCTTAGGGGTTTTCTGTTGAAATTGTGAACCCAAACATTTGAACAATATTGAAAACATTTGTGAAAAAAAAAATGCTCACTGGCCTTACGAATCACCAAAAAAAAATAAAAAATGAAAATACAATGAATATGGAAATGTGCATTAGCATACACACCATATTGGTACCAACTTTACCATGGAAATGGCAAAATGAGATTGAATTCAAAAGAGTGCATACAAATACATTACATTTACGTTTCACATGAGCCTTTGACTCACTAAAAAATACTTAAGGTTAACACTATTAATTTCAGTGTATTTGTATTTATTCATAAAGTATTTGTTAATTGTTTTGGGGGTTGGCGGTGGGGGGGGGGTGGTGTGCATGACCTACACAGAGCCGTATATAGAGAGATTTGCGACAACTTCAGACTGTTGAACCGTAATGGCCGTTCATTATGTGTACAGTGCAGCGTGCGACTATAATTGTGTACGAACTATTATGTGAACTGATGCATAATCCGCCATTTTGGCTCCAAACAGTGTGACCCTCATGTCGCAACTCTCTTTATACGGCTATGGACCTACACATTCGAATGCCGGCCAAGCATGTTTACTTGTTGCTACGTACCTGTAGTTGGTGCTAGTCGTTCATTGCAATCCCTGGTGCTTGCAGGTTTATCGTCAACTGTACGGCCGGCTGTTTCACCGGCGTTTCTTGCTTTGTTTCCTGTGTCACTCCCTTCGTCGTTGTTGTTATTTTTGTTGACGAGTATTTTCATGTTTGTTGTCAGATATGCATTTGACTTGGTAAGGGATGTGACGGTGTTTCCTGAAGCGTAGATCTTTGGCAGTTGAACCATCGGTGCTGTCTTGTTGAGGTTCAACTTGGCTCTTGTTTCAACCTTTAAAAAATTGACCAAGAATAATGACATCGTCACTTTTGGCTTGGGGGGGGGGGGGGTGGGATGGGGGGGGGGGGGGTGTGGGTGTGTGTGTGTGTGTGTGTGGGGGGGGGGGGGCTTGCTCCATTCTGTATTTTCCGCCTTGTAAGAGAACGTCTTAAATGCAATACACGTATGCAACATTTGCTTTTGCTGCAATTTTCAGAAATGGATGGATTTGGGGTTAGTATTTTAAAGCAAATATTGTTACACTGACCTGTTTAAGGTTTTGTGTGCATAGATCCTGGAAAAATCAAGAGAAAAATGTTGTTCATGTAGCCTGGTTCCCTGACCCGTCTTCGGACGAAACGAAGCAACTGATAGACGTCGGGAAATTATCAGGTCAGCGAACCAGACCAGCTGGCTTGCCACCGTTGTGTAATCGGAGATCACAAAATGTGGACTAACTATTTTGGATAAATTGGGGGCAGTATTTAAAGAAACCGGACAGTTTGTTTTCCAACGATGGTCGTCCGATCAGCGTTAAATATTGATAATGATACAAAAATTGAACTTTTCTTGAAAATAACTGCACACAAGGTGCCATGCTTGGAGAATTCATTTTATAATTTTTTTGGTGTTTGCAAATTAATGTTGTACATTACATTTCACTCACCTGGAAATGTAATAAAGAGTGTGCATCAAGATCCGGACTCTTCAGCAAAATTTTATTGAACTCTCATGCATGTTTTACTTTATATTGTAATCAACCCTGCAAGAACTCGACACATACTGAGCGTGGCCAGTTGTCGTTTCGTTCGTATTCAAAAACTGACAATTTTCTGTATTCTAGAAAAAAATATCCTTCTTGGTTACACCCGACAAAAACACCCGCGTACATGTACTTCTTAATCTCCCATTATAACATCTAAATTCGATGACAAAAAAATGGCATCGTTGTCTGCTAGTATTGAATTCGTGGTCTGCGGGTAAAGCTGCAGGTTGTGGGTTCGAGTCCAGCCTGGGGTCATGGTACGTGTGCCCTTGGGCAAGGCACTTTGTCACTCATTGCTTCTCCCTACTCTGGAGTAAATGGGTGCCTGTGAGGGCAGTCTGTGATGGTTATTGTGGTTGATTTTAGCTGCTCTGCGCCGAAATGGTGGCATTGAGCTGTATACTCCCCAGGGAGCTGAGATGGCGCTCGAAATGTTTCATTTGCCCAATGAGCAGGGAGACAATGATGTAGCGCCTTGAGCACAATATTGGCGGATACATACGCTTTATTATTACAAGTTATTATTATTAATATTATCATTATTTACTTACATGAATGGTGAGTTGTTTGCAGCAAATTTCTCCAAAGTATCACCGTTGTCGCGAGGTTTGGCCCTCCTTTTTTCCCACTGTCTGAAGTAAATGTTTGGCCATTACCACATTTGACAGTTATCTGGTGATTTATTTGAATAATTAATGCTACCATTCTATTGTTGATCACAACTGAACTGTTCAGATGGAAACAATGCGACTTCCTTTGTTACCATTGGAGTTGTGTTATTGCGCAATGAATTGTGACGTCACTATTATTGGGACGTTCGGCCGCGCGTGATATATGTTGGCGCGCTCCAAGAACAATGACTGGATCACTGTGAAGTATCTCTGAATCTCTGTGGGTGTGTCTGTCTGTTTGTCTGTCTGTATTTCGATTATCTCCAGAACCGGGCACCGTATGAAGTTGAAAATCGGCAGGTGTATTGCTCGGGGCCACCAAATGTGCAGTGTCAAGTTTGAAGTGGTTTGGATGAGCGGTTCTCGAAAAATCTGCAAAAAAGTAGTATTTTCTGAGGCAAACGTGCCAGTATAACCTGGACCACCACGCACTGATGTTCTTTTCAATTGTTTAAGCTAAAGCGCGCGTGCTCAATATGACGCAAACAATGCAAAAAGGACGGGCACGCGCACATGCACTGTGGGGTGATACCATTGTCCAGTAGGGGTGAATATCTGCGCTATTTTGCAGCTTGTTCGAAAACCACTCCCCCAAACAACTTCAAACTTGGCACAAACTTTGCCGTGAGTGTGAGTTCAACCTGTGAAAACATAACCATTGAATCGCGTGCGTTGTTGCAGTTATCAAAAACTCTGCAAGCATGCAACCAATACCAGCGGCAAAGCAATTTGCGCTTCCCGAACATGCACATTTAAGACGGGCATTGCACTAGTTTAAGCAAAACAGAAAACTTGATGCTTGTAAATTATACCCCTCAACGCAACGCTGATTTGAACGCATCGAGGGGAGGGTAAACCGGCTGGGTCCATCATCAATCAGTTCCAGTCTCAGCAAGTTGGTGGGAAGAATGATGAGGATTACCGATTAGCTCTGCGTTCAACGGGGGGCACGAGGAACCGTGAATCGTGACATGTTGTTCTGGATGTAGATTCTTTTTTGGCAGTCATTGGGCACAAGGCAATTTTTTTTGGAAAAACAATTCCCAATCCCCCCCCCACTATTATCCCAAATGTTCAGCTCACCATCAAAGTGTCATCATTCTTTAGTTTATTTTATACGCAGCTCAAACCACATGACGTGTCCTATCCAATCAAAAGCCGTGCAAAACAATACGGCCTTCCCACCGGCCGGTCCCATCAAATTGTTGGCCCGATGACTGAAGTACTTACAAATGTATATGCTTTTATACTTTATTAAGCATACTATTGCAAACAACCAGCAATGCGGCTGTTAAATTTCTGGCATGGATTGCCATTACTTTTGTACAAACATGTTAAGGGACTACAAATATTACCCGATTCGTCATCTTTGTTCGATTTGTATGCCTTATAATGACATTTGTCGCCCGTTGAAGCATGGATGGAAATCGTCAACCACCAACTTTTGGTACGTGTTGAAATCCGATAACTTAAGTGATGCATAGAAAGTGAGGATGTTTACATTTGAGTGCACGAAAATGTTAAATATTCAAGCCCCTGTCACACATCCAAGAACAAAGACAAAGACCAGGCCAAGACCATGAGATTTACATAAATATCTTGACCATCGTACAAATATAGGAAATGTGGCGCCAAGTTCAAATTTCTTCTTCCGAGCTCCAGTCTGCAGACCATGATCAGAATGTGCTGCGACTTCATCCCGATATACTTAAACTCCGAAACCACCTCAAACCGAATATTACGACTTCGCTGCGACTTGAATCCATTGATATTTTTTCACGACTGAGTCCCGATCTCGTTGCGACATAACCGACAGAGTACCGACACAAAAGACAGCGAATCAATGCCGAACGACTCCTAAACGACAGAGTGATGTCATTTTTGAAGTTTCATGTCGTGAGGTCGTATCAATGTCGGCTAAAAAAAATTGGGCGACCATGTACGACCACTGCCGATCTAGTACTGACTATTGTGATTTCATTACGACTTCGTTACGACTTCGATACCACACAACCGTTTGAGTACAGACGGATAACAGACTTTGATCCGTTTTGGATTTTTTTGCCGACCATCACGATATGTTTCAACTAATACTATAATCGAGGCTCCACTGCCGACCATGCACTATCTATAGGATGCCGAAACGACGCTCAAGAAGTCGTTCCGATAAAGTTCAGATGTCATTCCGAGTTTCACGGTGTCGTCGAGTCTTGCGTCTCAGCACTGTCTGATCGTGATCGGGAGACTACATTGTGACAGTGTGACAGGCGCTTTAGAAGGCCCCTAGTCATCCATTCGAATCCATGCGATAATTCAAAAGTTTAATAAATATAACAATAAAATGAACATTTAAAATTGTATACCAGCATTTTTCAGCTTGACAGGGAAAAAATCAAGGTAAGGCAAAAAAAAAAAATATTCGGTCTCTGGTCAGACCAAAGTTCCGGAATTGACGTGAATTTCCAAGAGGTTTTACCACAAATCACTTCGATTTTTTACTTGATTGTTTTGATCAATTATGTATTGCGTTTTACACATTTTATTTAGTTCGAACACTGTATGGACATTATACATATTGTATTAAAGATTTTATATAGCAGCACAGCTTAATATACATTTGTTTTTACTGTACAACAAAGTTCCACTATAGTTTAAACGTTTCGATTTAGACCGAAATTATATGAAAAAAAAGGACATATTACAATAAAGTCAAGAGATACAGTTTTTCTTCAACACATACTTCGCCGAATTAATTATGGCGACATCCAAGCAACTCCAATCGCATAGCAACATAATTACTATACCATTCCATAGGTTCAATGCGCACAACCGTGGCCACCACACTTTCATCAAACAGGTTAGTGACCGGGGTGTCGGTATCAGTGTTACCGATGAACACCTGAAAAGAATCCAAATGCAATAACGCACGTTTGTATGAGAAATAACTACTTGCAGTTATGTCTTAGACCAAGACTATTAAAAGAGCGGGCAATCTAAATGGAGGGAGTCGTCCTTCGAAACAGAATTCAACAAACCGTAAATATATTTAAAAATATCTTGTGTGTCGTGGGTTGGGAGTCACTTTTAAGTTCAGATTCAGCCATATAGACATCTATTCACGGGGCACCTTAGGTTTCTATTTCGGCTTCAGAGTGTTTTGCTTTTTGTTTTTTGATCAAAAATTATTTTTTTCATGAATGACCTTAGCATAAAAATATAGCATCCACCTTTTCTGATGTAGCTTCTTTGGTTTCTATGATGAGACACGAGTTCAGAATGGCTAAATGGTTGCATTAGCATGGAACTGAACAACGTTGTATATAATGAAGGTATCATAATGCGATCAAAGGCCCCAACACAATACAGTAAAAAGCTACGTTTGCAAAATTTTAACCGTCTTACGTATACAAGTTCAATTGAGAAAAAAACGTTGAAAAGATGGATATTTACCTTGATGTCTCCGTTTCCATCCGTCACGTATTCATAGTCCGATGAGTGCTGCTTCTTATACGCCACCTTGTAAGCAGTCACCCACATGCGAATACTGCGGGAAATGCCTTGCGTGATGACCCCAGTCACCACTGTAGGCTCATCGAGGTCCACCTCGATCCAGGGATTGGCATCGTTACTGTACACAGAGTGAAGAGAGGATGAGAGACCTTTTATACTCACATGAGTGTGTTGTGGCGTTGTAATGATGCAGAGTGAATGGAGATATGAAAGTAAAGGGTCAGGTGTTGTTTTCCTTTGATACCTACCTCGCGGCTAGCCATTTGTTCCGATTGTTGAGGCGTCCCTCGCTGGCAGAGCAACAAATAGTGCCATATTGACTGGACGCCGTCATGCGATCATCTTGGATTGTCCCGTCCTCAATACCTAGGGGTTGCGGACTGGAACACTCTGCTGGCAACAAATGAGTAAGCAAGTGAAATATTTATTCATATTGACAGTCGGAAAAAAAACTTACATGTATTGTGAAACTGATAATTTTATCCCAAACTTTATGTTGGGGTAAAACGCATAATAAAATATTATAATCATATTAAACTTCAAATTTCACTGTACACAAATCTGAATGATAATTGGGCCTATACATTATTGAAAATGTGAAAATATCCCCCTCCCTCGAAGTTATCACCGAAAAACCTTTTTGAATTGGGCAGAAATTACGAATTTTTCCGTGGTTATTTTTTTTTTTTTTTTTTTGGTGGCACAAAAACACCTGGTGTTTTTTTTTAATTGGGAGGAGTCGTTTAACCTTTGTTTTAGGCGAAGAAGCAAACATGAAACATATTTCATTTTACACATTAGCAGGCGTTTAACGTCATTTGCAGTCTTCGATTAACCTTAATCTCAATACATTACTTAACCTTGTGATAGAACAACTCCACATGCTTGGTAGTCATACCTATTGTATGGGTGATCGTAGGACGACTTACCAGCTGGTGTGGGTTGCCTCCTTCCCGGGCAACGCTTTCGTATCTCTTGCATGACTTGCTTCATCCAGTCATCCGGATTATCAGGATCAGGTTCCGGTGGGGGACCGGAGTAACACACCCTCTGCTGGCTCTCCACACCAACCAACAGCACTTTGGAATTAATTAAAAATATATAAGAAATCACAATGAATAGGTTTTGCACCGCAAGAGGTAAATTAAACAGCTACATGTTGCTTTATTGAATAAATATTAGCCCCGAGAATGTTTGTACTGAATTGAAAACATTTTAAGGAAAATACAGAAATGAAGATTTTAAAATTCAGGAAAATCGGCTTAAGCATGGTAAGAGCAGTAAACATGAATCTTTCTTGGGAACGTATTATATGCAACATTCAACTCTTCTCAATTCATGTATGAATCTACAATGGACCAATTTTGGAATAATTTGATCGAAAAGTGCACTTTTAAAATCTTATATTTTCTATGCTTTTCCTGACCACCGAGGGCGCTGTTCATTTTAGGAAAACACTGTTTCGAATCCAACATTTGCCCATTTAAAACATTTGTGAGAAAACTTTGGTCATTGGCTTACTGTCATGTAACAAATCAACAACGAATCACCGAAAGAAGACCAAATTTAAGACAGCAAAATAACATAAATTATGGCAAATTTTGGTGCTGACAAAGTTGTTACATTCAGGTTTCTTCTTTTATTGACATCTAATTTTGCTCATGAATATAGAAATTCGCATTAGCATAAAAACCAAAACAGGTACCTCATTCGAAATGTCTTTAAAATGAAAATTTTGCTCATGAATATAGAAATTTTGCTCATGATATATTCATGAGCCCGCTTATTTCACAACCCCGCCAAGACCATGATATTTAAGAATATCCTAAAAATGGTACAAAATACGTAGGAGGTGTGACGTCCAATTCAAAATTCGTCTTCCGAGCTCCACTTTGCATGCAGACCATGATCAGAATGTGCTGCGATGTTGCCATGAATACTATGACGGGATTGGACATTTTGGGAGACATCCCCATAGACTTGTGCACAATTTTTTTTCAAACTTAAATGTGCTCTAAGCCAATATTACCTTGTCCTTTCCCCACGAATTTCGGTATGTGTACTAATTAGACCACAAGCAACAAAATTAACCTAATTGCTACGGTACAATTTGCCTCTAAAGGGGGCTGTGACATTAGGGAGACATAAAAATCTCTCCTATTTAATGACCGGTGTCATTTATTGGACCGGACCCCCCCCCCTGAAACCTTGTCGCCCCCCCAGTCGCCCCCACAGATTTTGAGTTTCTAAAAAAATTATCATTGATCTAAATCTAAATAGTCGCGAATGACCCCCCCCCCCCGCCCAGTCGCCCCCCCCCCCATTGTCATAACAGACGAACATAACCAAGACATCACCATAGCTGTCTATAATACGTGTTCCAATTTTTTTTAGAAACTCAAAATCTCGGTGGGGGGCCACTGAGATTTTGAGTTTCTAAAAAAATTATCATTGATCTACATGACGCCATGGGCGTCAATTCTGGGGGGGGGGGGGGACAGGGGGACAGGGGGACTGGTCCCCCCCCCACTTTTTGAAGGGTGGGGGACACAATATCAAAATTCCCCCCCCCCCCCCCAAGATTTTTGAACTCGTGTCTCATTTACAGGGCCCTATTATGTACTACAATGTATCTTTTGCTTAGAAAATATTGGTTAAAGTGGTCAGAAATTGCCTCAGATAGCACCACAGAGCATTTGGAATTCAACATTTTTTTTTCGGGGACCTTAAGCGGGCCCCGAACCCCACGCCTATAGCTCAGAATTCTGGTAGCTGATTCAATGACTCCAACCTCGAAAACAATGTTCAAAAAATTTTTGTATGCCTTTAGCTGAGAAAACCTCGAAAATTATGTTTAACTTTTATTATTTTTTGTGCTAAGATAATTATTGGTTAAAGTGGTGAGAAATTGCCTCAGATCACACCACAGAGCATCGAGAATCCATTTTTTTCGGGGCGCTTAAGCTGGCCCCGACCCCACGCCTATAGCTCAGAATACCGATAGCTGATTCAATGACTCCAACCTCGAAAACGATGTTTAAATAATTATCTTTTGCTAAGAAAATATTAGTTAAAGCATGGAGAAAAGTTGTAAGAAATTGCTTCAGATCACACCACCACACCTTCATATCAGCTTCGCGCTCGCATCAGTTCTGATCAAGGTATGTCCCCCCCACTTCTGAGAAGCGATTGACGCCCCTACATGACGCCCCCCCATGAAATGTTCCAGCCCCCCACTGAAAAATTCCTGGCTACGCCACTGACTGGAGTGAAGTGCTGCATAGCTGATTTTGGAGTCATTTAAGCAAAGATTTGAAGACGTCGAGTGAGAATTTCACGCATATTCTTTGTCGACACATTTTGTACCGAAATTGTAAACAAACAGTGTAGGTACATGTACGTGTATTGTACGTATAGTGTGTGCGCTGTAACATGCAAACTTTAATACACAGCGTCTGCTTTTCTATTTCATTGTACAGGTTTTTTTTTTTATTTCTATTGAAATATTGTATCTCAACTGAGCTTTATCACTCATCAAGAAATCAACCAAATCAACTAATGACAGCAACCGATGAGAAGTGTCTGATGTTTGTCCATGCTTAGCAGTGTTGCAGTCGAGACCGGATAGTCCGAGACCGAGACCAAGACCGAGACCTGAAGCTGCGAGACCGAGACCGAGACCGAGACCGAGACCAGCCCCTTCAAGGCGAACCGAGACCGAGACCGAAACAGTCCGAGACCGAGACCGAGACCGAGGCCGCAGATAATAAATAATAATCTAAATAAACAACAAGACACTAATTACAGCTGAACAGTCTGTCTTTTAGATGTTGATGTTCATGGGGATGTGAAGGAAGTGATTGAAAGTTAGGAATCACTTGTACCTGCTTAATTGTGTCATGCGAGTGCTCTTCGTGTTTGCTTCATGCCATAAATAACAACATGGCAACAGAATTTGTTATTGTGACAATCAATTAAAAAAATATTGTTTAACTACTATAAAGTGTAAATCTGATGAAGAGACTCTAACTTAGGAGTACGACAATTTGTACTAGTTTTTGCAAAACTTGAACATGTTGAAACTTGACAAAAGTAAAAAGTTAAAGGTGTATGTTTCATCTGTTATAGGAACTCGGACCCTAAACTCCAGAGCCAGCCCTTGGTTTCAGCAATGACCACTAACGGATATTTAAATGCAACTTTAATTTTACATTGGACCTCCTTGTAAACCTGATTCGAAAAAAATTTGGAGCAAGAAAATATTGATTTATTTTTTAAAATTTCAGTCATGGAATATAGTTTTGTACATGTAGACCAAAAAAATTGAAAGATGGTAGCCAGATATGGATAGGTCTGCTCCCCATCCCTCTTTGTGATTCTCCTTCCAACCCTGCATGTTTGTGTGTCCCCTATTATTTATATTAAAGAAGATCGATGAACCATATTTGCCTGATCTATCTTCTGTTCATCTGCCCGCCGTCATCATCGTCATAAGCCTTTTAGAGAATATGGCCGACACAATAGAAGGGCGCTGTAACAAACTAAATGTGGTGGGCGAGATGCACTTTTAGGATGCATGGCTCAGTGCGCACGCCTCTCTGGCTACTTTGCCGGGCAATTTACTTGAGTATTTTACTGACAAGTAAGACATTGCCAATATTCTAATCGCTTATTGTGATGGCCGTAAACAGAATATAGCGATTAATGAAACAAAAGTCTTCTCGACTCATGCAAACGCAATTGACATTTGGTCTCGACTCGAGACCAGCCAAAATATCGAGACCAAAGGGGACCGAGACCGAGACCAAGACCGAGACCACAGCTCCCGAGACCGAGACCGAGACCGAGACCGGCAAAAAGTGGTCTCGAGACCGAGACCGAGACCGAGACCGAGACCGGTCTCGAGACCTACAACACTGATGCTTAGTGATTGCCTCCCATCCTCCTTAACTGGTGGATGGGTCTCCCCCTCTGATTAAGACAACAGGGCCGACCACAACTGATTGAGTACCAACACAAAAAGACCGAGAACCGATGCCGAAACTTCTTCAAAACGACATCTTCGGAATTTCACATCGTGATGGTCGTATCAAAGTGGGCTAAAAAAATTGGCCGACCATGTACGACCACTGCCGATCTCGAGCACACTATTGCGATTTCGTTACAACTTTGTTACGACACAACCGTTTGAGTATAAACGGATAACAGACTCTGATCCGTTTTGGATATTTTTGCCGACCATCACAATATGTTTCAACTGTTGAAACTAACCGTGGCTCCACAATGTCGTCGAGTCTCGCGTCTCAGCACTGTCTTATCGTGCTCGGGAGCAGG